GACCCTACTGAAGGCCCTTATTCTTGTTAAGGTTCAGATAGCCCTGCCCCCTCACCAACAGGATCCCAAGGACTTCTCATGCTCCTGAGAAAAGGGAACCTAGCTGATAAGCACCTTGGTCTTTGAAGTCAAGAGAAGCAGGCTTTTCTCCACTGTTTGGCCAACATAGCAGGCTTCCCCTTTGATCTCTAAAGAGGACAGGTTTTAACAGTCCCACTCTCCCACTCCCGCCCCAACCCAACTTTTAAAAAAATACATCTTCCCGCCTCGTGCAGGAGGCAGAAGCCTCCCTTTTAAAAGACCCCAGCTCAAGACCCGGGCAGACATTTTCCCTGCCCGGAAGGGAATCTGTCCCATGTGTTCCTTTGCTAATAAACCCTATTTTGATGGAGTTTAACTGTGCCTCAGTGCCTTATCATCCATTTGCTCATTCTCCGCCAACTTTTTACTTATCAATTCTTTCTTGGCTCTCCTGAGAGCATCCTGCTGACACACCTGTCCCTCCTGCACCTTTACTTAGTCATGTACCTATCCTTCTTTGAGATCTCTTTCCCAGCCCAGCTGCCATGCCAGCTCAGGGCAACTCTAGTCTTACAGTAGGCACTTGAAACAGAAAATGGACCCTCAAGGTGATTTATGCAGGAATCAGTTTTTATTAATAAGCCAGCACCAGCCCTTAGAGGTAGTTCCTAAAGCAGGCCTTAATCAAGGAAAGACCCAGCCTTTTATACCCTCTGTTTCCCTTTACAGTTCAGTTTCTTTGTTTCCCATACACAGTAACATACATAGCATGATTGGGTGTCCTGTGCTGCAAGGTCATAATAGAACTGTACATGCACACAGGCACAGACCACACTGCATTTCTTTTTGTTTCTGGAGGATTCCTATCACAGCCCTTCTTATCACATCTCACTCCCACTAGAATCTATGGGGTCGCAGGGACTCAGAGTGCCATGTGCTGGGCGTGGCGCCCGTCTCCCATGGGCCGCGGTGCTGAGGCTCTCTGCTACCGGGGCTGGTGGCTCTGGAGGGCCGCTGTCAGCTGCCCGGGCGGGTTCCGTCCCAATTTCCACCGAGCACTCCCTGAGATCCGTCAGCTGCCAGGTCACGAGGGGAGGTGCGGGACATTGAAAGCAGGGTCTCCGTGAGTCGTGGTTTATGAAGAGACAGCCCTCTCCGGGAAGACTGGATTGTAGGCAGTAAGACACAGAACTCAGCTCAGTCAGACTCAGTGGTACAGCTCCTTTATTCAGTGACTCAGCTCGGCTCCAGGTCTTAGTGATTCAGCTCCGATTAATTAGGGGAAACCAGGACATTTATACTGTGGGGGCAGTGGCAAAAGCCTTAGTGGATAGGTGCTTTCAGGATGCCCCATTTACATGTGGTGGTGGGCTCCTGCCAGGCTGTCAGACAGTGCCTGAAAATCACACAGGAAAACCTGGCAGTTTCAGAGCCAGAGGCCATGTATCTGTGGCGGCTACTTCAAAGATGAGTCAGGAAGAAAGTAGGGGGGCGCCCTGCTGAGAAGAGGAGTCCCTCCATTCACGCCGAGCCGACATGCGGCTATCCGGACATGGAAAGACTACAACCCAAAACAGCAGGAGTCCCCAACAAGAATCCATGTTCTCTTCTGACCTACCCTACACGTGAGCACCAACTTCTCTGTGCTGGTTAGGGTTTTGTTGTCGCTGTTGTTGTCATCATCGTCAACTGGACACAAACTAGAGTTATCTGGGAAGAGGGATTTCCTCCATCAGACTTACTGACCAGTGGACGTGTCTGTGGGGCATTCTCTTAATTGCTAATTGATGTGGGCATGCCATCCCTGGGAGGGTGGGCTTGGGTGATACAAGAAAGGTAGCTGAGCAAGCCGGGGGGTTGGGGGCAAGTCAGTAAGCAGCGTTCCTCCATGGTCTCTGCTTCAGTTCCTGCCTCTCGGTTCCTTCTTGACTTTCTTCCCTGACTTCCTTCAGTGGTGGGTTGTAACCTAGGAGTTATAAGGTGAAATAAACCCTCTTCTCCCCAAGTTGATTTTGCTCAGTGTTTTATCACAGCAATAGACAATCAAACTGGGATGTTTCTCTTCATAAAATCATGTCCATTCGCTACTGGATTTAATACTACTCATAGGGAACTCAGTTCATACTTCTTGACCCTGCTATTCCTTGCTATGACCCAGGCCCACTGGGCTCAGCTATGGCTGCTACCTAGAACCCCTCTCATCATAGCTCATCTCCTCCCCAGGGACCCCATGACCATCCCCAGAACTCCAAGCTCCTCATGGACCTGCTTGCTCTCAGTTTAATTCACTAGGATGGTGTCCTAGTTTGTCTCTCCATTGCTGTGACAAGACACTGACCAGTACCAACTTGAGGAGGAAAGGGTTTATTTAGCTTACATATCCCGGGTCACAGTTCATCCGGGAGCCCAAGGTAGGAACCGAGGGCAGGAACCTGGAGGCAGGAGCTGGAGCACAGGCCATGGAGGAATGTTACTTACTAGCTTGCTTCCCTGGCCCCTGCTCAGCCTACTTTCTTATGCAACACAAGCCCACCTGCCCAGGGATGGCACCACCCACAGTGGGCTGGGCCCTCCCACATCACTCAACAATCAAGAAGGTACCCCAGGGACATGGCCATAGGCCAGTCCAAAGCAATTCCCTAATTGAGGCTCCCTCAACCCAGGTGTGTCAAGTTGATACTAAAGCTGTCCAGCACAATTGACCCCTTGTCAACTTGACACACAAACACATCACTATTAAACCATAACCTTTCCAATTCTTGTCCCCAAGACACAATATTATCACAATAAGACAGTACGACCTTAAAAGCCCCACAGTCCTTAAAAAATCCAAAAACTTAAAAGTCCACAGTCTCTTTTAAAATTCTCTTAACTGGGGGCTTCTGTAAAATCCAGAACAAATACTGTCTTATTTCAAAGGGAAGAATTGGGCACACCTAAGCAAAACCAAAGCCCAGCAAAGTAGCTCAAGTCTGGACATCTGGGATTCACTCACAATCTTCTGGGCTCCATAGGGTTCTGGCAGCTCCACTGCTCTGACTCTGTAGTCCACGGCACACACAGCTCGTCTCACAGACCCAGGCCACCTCCATTCCACACCCACTGCTGTCCTTGGTGGTCGTCCCATGGTCCCAGCATCTCAAAAAAAAAGCTGGGGTCTCCACTGAAACTGAGGCTACACCTTCACCAATGGCCTCGTCTTGCCCCTTGGGGTGCGAAACCTCAGATTCTCTCCATGATCCCTTCAATCCTGGGGTCTTCACTGCAACTGAAGCTGCACTTTCACCTATGGCCTTTCCTGCCCTCTCAGTGCCAAGCCTCAGCTGCTTCTGTGACCCCTTTCACGCTTTCAACACCACAACCATGCAGGAGACTCTTACACATTACCAAGTCTTGCTTCTAGCTTGAGATGGAGGTTCAGGTCCCCTCTTTGTGCTGACCCTGAGGAAATACCTCCCAGAAGATTTCACCTCAGTGATGCTGGTCTCTTGTTACTTACAGCTAATTTTTCAGCCCCAGCTAACCAGCATCAATTGTCCCAGTAAAGCAAAGGTCAGGTTCTGGTCTCTTAATCACAGCTGATTCTTCAGCCCCAGCTGACCAGAGCCACAGATTCTCAAACCAAAATCTCACACGAACAGTCCTGATAGTCTCTGCTTCCCTTTGAAGCTTCACAAGCCAGGCCTCCATCATCCACAACTCTTTCAGCATAACTGTTCCAAGCTCCACAGCAACAAACTGAGCACCCAATGGCTTTTCCAGCCCAAAGTTCAGAACGCTTCCACAATCCTCAAAATACCAAGGTCAGGTCTGTCACAGCAATATCCCACTCTCGGGTACCAATTTCTGTCCTAGTTTGTCTCTCCATTGCTGTGACAAAATGCTCTGACCAATACCAACTTGGGGAGGAAAGGGTTTATTCAGCTTACATATCCTGGGTCACAGTTCATCCAGGAGCCCAAGGTAGGAACTCAGGGCAGGAACTTGGAGGCAGGAGCTGGAGCACAGGCCATGGAAGAATGCTGCTTACTAGCCTGCTTTCTTATGCAACACAGGTCCACCTACCTGCCCATGGGTGGCACCACCCACAGTGGGCTGGGCCCTCACACATCACTCAACAATCAAGAAGGTGCCCCAGGGACATGGCCATAGGCCAGTCCAATGAAGGCAATTCCCCAATTGAGGCTCCTTCAACCCAGGTGTGTCAAGTTGACACTAAAGCTATCCAGCACAGATGGGCTACACCACAAACCCCTCCGCAATTGTAAATGTTTCCATTTCTCAGCTAAGAACTGTTAGAAACAAGATCTGTGGTCCAGTGTAACTCCTAGAGCAGGAAGACCTGATGACACTTTTTCTGATGAAGTTGGACAAATAGCTACTTTGCTATTCTTTTACTTTACGTATAGGCTCTTTGTTTGTTTGTTTGTTTGTTTGTTTGTTTGTTTATTATTTGCAGTGCTGGAGATCAAACCCAGGACTTCATTTATGCCTGGCAAATACTCTACCTTTGAGCCACACCTCAGTCTGGCAATCCTTTTTTTTTTTATTTTTTTTATTTTTTAGCTTTCTGCTCTTTTTCATTTTTATGTTGCCAAAAATCCTTAGTATTTCAAGAAGATGAAATTGAGTGGAAATGAGATGAGACAGTGGGAAAAGCACAAGCCAGCTTCAAAGAATGGTAGTACTCGGTAGTACTCAGTAGTACTCAGTAGTTGAGGGCTGAAGCTCTGGTCCCTGGGTTTAGATCCCAGCTCTACCACTTACTAGCTATATGATCTTGGGGAAATCACTTCTGCTCTCTGTGCCTTAATTGTCTCACCTGTAGCAGAGTTGATTGAGGGTCTAAGTTATATTGTTTTTGTCTTCATGGTACTTGAAAAAATGTCGGACATGTTGCATGACAGTTCATTCCTACTTTATCATTTTTACCTTATCTCACGTCCTCTCTGATATCATCTTTTCCCCCCTGTTCACAGGATGACACCCCCATTGAGGATACTAGAATGTGATGAGTGCACGGTGCCAGTGATGAAGCCGTTGGAGAGGACTCCTTGGACATGGCTGTAATAACAGTAGCAGCAGCAGCATATGAAACCTCTGCAGAAGTAGAATATGCAGAGTGTCTGGAGTCCACCTGGGACACAGGGCAATGTTTCCCCAGACTCCACGCAGTGTTTCCTCATTGGAGATTGGAGTTGAGGGTAGTAGACTCTTATCAACTTGAGTTTGTGTTAGTTGACGGACTTGACTCAAAACAAAAACTTACTTAAAGCAATTTACTGTACTGATGACTCCCCGGGAATACTGGCCATCTTACTGAGGGGGCCTGAATACTGTCCACCTCCACTTCTTCCTGCATCTGACCTCCCAACTAAGCTCTGGTTGGACTTATTAGATGTTGCCTGTGTAAAGTTATAGCCTTTTTACTGTTCTAAAGTTTTTGCGTTTCTCACATGTAACTTAAAACTAATTTTACATGAACAAAAACAAAAGAAACTATTTTTGCAGGAAATATAAATCCTCTAAGTTATAGAAGACCTTAAATCATATCAAAACCCTTAGGACAGAGCTAAAGAGATGGCTCAATGGTTAAAAGCAGCATTGGCTACTCTTGCAGAGGACCTGAGTTTAGTTCCCAACACCTACATGGTGGCTCAGAACTGTCTGTAACTAGTTCCAGGGGATCCAACTCCTTCTGGCTTCTATAGATACCAGGCACGCAAGTGGTACACATACATACATACAGGCAAGCACTCTTACATGTAAAATAATAAAGTAAATATTTTTTTAAAAGATTCTAAAAGCAAAATCTTTTAGCTTGCTCCAAATGAGAAATGGCCACCAATTTTGAAAACATTAAATTCAAGGGGATAACTTAAGAAAACATTTTTTAAATGTAACTCATCTGTTTCAAGGACAGAAGCGTATCCTGTTACGTTGTCTTCTGATTAATGACTATGAATGAAGGTAGCTGGCCCATCTCATCCTATCCTGTCACCCTGAGGAGATGATACAGGAAGTTCCGTGGAAAGACAGGATGCTCATACATTTTTGCTCTTTGCTGCATTTCCTGCTCCTCAAGGCACAGCTGTGATGCTTAAGCAACATCAGTGCTCTGATTCACTCAACAAGAAAGGATTGCACTCCTCAACAAGGTTACAGATCAACATGGATTGGATGTCCTCTGGAAGGGGCCGAGTGCCCAGAGGGCAGCTTACCTTTTGAGAGCATCCTTCCTAACTTCTCTAGGAAGTGTTTGTTTGTTTGTTTGTTTGTTTGTTTGTTTGTTTGTTTTCTGAGACAAGGTCTGGCCATGTAGCTTCAAATTCACTATGTATCCCAGACTTCCCTTGAACTCATAATCCGTCTGCCTCTGCCTCTGGATTGTAGGTGTGAACCATCATGCCTGGCTCTCAGTACTCATTTCCTGAGTCTAAACTCAAGTTCTTCTCCTGGGCTCAGGAAGATGAGTTGGAGTCTTCAGTCTGTTTTTACCAGTTAGCTCCTGTTTTGACATTCTGATTAGAGAGTGTAGAAAGGTTTTCAAGGGACATGGGTCTGACTACCCATTTCTCAGTTTACACCGGACTCTCTGCTGAAGAATTGTTAATCCAAATAAATGTTGAATCTTTAGGGTTGGTCCTTATTCTGAATTGAATACTTCAGTATCTCAGTGAGAAGATTTGACTTCTTTGGCAATTGTTTCTCTGCAAGTTCATTAGACCACACCCAGTCCTGGCTTCAGAAAACAGTCTCCTAGACAAAAAGGCCTTACATCACTGGTGGTACCTCAATTTCTCAATTTCCTCATCCAATTTATAGCTTTTCTAGTTCCAGCATACTGTTAATAGGTGGGATATATTATTTTTCAAAACTATTTTTAAATAGCTTATAAGTTGTAACAAACATGTAACTTGGTCAAATTGATATTGTCATATATATTATAAACTTTGGATTTTAACAGAATTTGAGAGAAATTTGTGGCTTTTAGTTTTTAGTTTTAGGGGGAGGGTTGTTTTTTTTTTTTTTTTTAGTTCTATATCCTGTCTACCTACCTACCATTATCAGCAGGGCTGTCTCTCCCCCTCCCCCCAAACCATGATTTTATTTATACATCTCTGCATTGTTTATACACTCACAGAGCTGCTGTGTGAATACAGAGCATGGTGATGGTGAGTTTGTGATTGTGACTGCACACTGAGAAAGGCATGGAAAAGCAACTACGGCATCTAGATATGGAAACAAGGCTCCCTATTGTCATAAAGGCATTAAACTGTCATAGCAGATGAGAAAGAACAATTTTTAAAAATATTTTATTATTTTTATGTGTACACATGTATTGTCTGCATGTAGGTAAGTGCATCTGTGTCGTGCAATGCCCACGGAGGACAGAAGAGGCTGTCGGATCTTCTGGAACTGGAGTTACGGACAGTTGTTAGCTGCCTTGTGGGTGCTGGGATTCAAACCCAGGTCTTCTGCAAGAACAGCTAGTGTTCTTAACCTCTGAACCATCTCTCCAGCCCCTAAGAAAACACCCACAGAAACATGTTTGACATGCGTCAAGTTATCTTTGTATATCCCCCAGTCCCTCTCCTGTTCCCATGAGTTGTTCAGTATTGAAGGCAGAAGCTCCCCTATTGGTACTATTCTGGAAACTTGTGCTCCCCTTTCTAAAGTACCCATGACTGAGTGTTGCACAGTTAATAGGGAGGATTCCACATTTGGGTTTAAATAAGATCACTCAAAGCTGGCTATGGTGACTCACACCTGTAATCTTGGCATTCAGGAGGCTGAGGCTGGAAGACCGCAAAGAATTTGAGGCCAGTCTGGGCTTCATTGTTTCAAACACACACGGCGCGCGCACACACACACAAACACACATACATTGTCACAACCAGGCCAGGAAAACCTTGTTTTGTTCAAGACTTGAAAGAAAGCACAGATTCATAGTAACAGGCTGAAGAGTTAGAAGTATTCTCCACTATCCTTGTACTTCAACTTGAATTTCAAACTGTATCCTTTATACAGAAAGGGAAGAAACACAAAACAAAGATCAGAGACTATTCTGAAGATATCTGCCAAGGTTAGAAGAGGATTGTGGTAACATTTATTCCAGTTTTCTTTTATGTTGCCAGGATAAAACATTCTGACCCAAAGTAACTTGGGGAGGAAAGGGTTTATTTCATCTTATACTTCTAGGTCACAGTCCATCAGTGAGGGAAGTCAGGGCTGGAACTCAAGCAGAAACCACTGAGGAATGTTGCTTACTGGCTCTCTCGCTCTCTCTCGCTCTCTCTCTCTCTCTCTCTCTCTCTCTCTCTTTCTCTATTTATATAGCACAGGCCCACAAGCCTAGGGATGGTACTGCCCACAGTGGTCTAGGCCCTCCCACATAAGTCATTAGTCAACACAATCTATCACAGATATGACCACAGGCCAATATGATCTGGGAAATGCTTCAGTTGAGGGTCCCTCTTCCTTGGTGACCCTAGGTTTTGTCAAGTTGACAGTAAAATCTAACCAAGACACCATTTCAGCTTCCTATGGAACTAGGTTAGTGGGTGACCACAAGAAGCCACAGGCGCTGCTGTACCCTCTCCAGCACAGAGACGACCCCAACAAAGCTAGCCATGCAGCTTTTGGCCTGAGCTCAGGTGAGCAGGTGTTCATTAAGTATCTGTTAAGAAAAGTAACAAAGGCAGAGACAGGCGGATCTCTGTGAGTTTGAGGCCAGCCTGGTCCACATAGCAAGTTCCAGTCCAGTTGGGGCTACAAAAAGACCCTATCTCAAAAAGACAAAAAGAAAAAAAGGAAAGGATGATCAGAAAAGGCAGCAGCATCTTCTGGATGGGCCTTTTGATTGAAGTTTAATACCATTGCTGGACTGCAAATATAGTTCAGTTAGTAGAACACATGAAGCTCTGGGTTGAGCCCCTAGCACCACCAAAAAGCAACGACAACAACTAAACCAAAACAAAACAAAAGCAGGTGTGATGGTACATGTTCATAATCCCAGAACAGGAGGTAGGGGCAAGAGGATCAGGAGTTCAAGGCCAGCCTCAGAGACATAATGAATTCAAAGCCAGCCTTCAGTACAGGAGACCCTGTATCAAACAAAAAACGTTTAGTGGCACTGAATGAGGGCACAGCTGCTAATGACAGGACACCAACTCGACAGTAGCTGATGGAAAGCAAAGTCCACAGAGGCACAGTAGCTCAGGCCACAGCACGAATCTCTTTTCATGTTGGTCTCTGCTTTCTTCTGTTAATCATACCCTAGGAAGACTCTTCCCAGCCTGTAAACCCAGTAACTGTGGAAAAAAATCCTTCAGGGGCATCCTACAGACTCTGTGTAAAGCATGGACCCACATCTAAACCACTCATGGAGGAGGAGATGCAGAAACCCAGGCCCTCTCCTGGAGCAAGGGGCTGAGCAAGTCAGTCCTAGTCAGTAAGAAGGAATATGAGTGGGAATAGGGTGTCTCCTCAAAGGGGAATCAGAGTGCTGCTACCAAAAACGTGAGGCTTGGTGGGCTCAAAACAACAGCTGTCCCCAACAGGGCAAGACTCCAAACACCAAATGACTCTTCCCTCGTTTGCTTAAAAATTCCATTTGGTGGGCTGGAAAGATGATTCAGTGGTTAAGAGCACTGGCTGTTCTTGCAGAGGGCCCAGGTTCAATTCCCAGCACCTACATGGCAGCTAACAACTGTCTATAACTCCAGTTCTAGGGGGTTCTATGCCCTCTACTGACCTCTGAGGGTACTGCATTACATGGGTGTACTTACATACATGCAGACAATACACTCATGCTAAAATAAAATAAAAATAATAAATAAAATAAAATGCGTTTGGTTTAGCTCTAGTCAACTTTGTGCTCTATGGACAAGGTGAAAATGGATGATCAGAAGATCCTTATATAACACGTGAACAGGTGGCTCGTGGCATGTCAAGAGCATCAAGAGCTGGTAAGACAGCTCAGTGGGGAAGGGTGCCTGCTGCCAAGCCCCAAAACTTGAATTCAATCCCTGGATGCCATGGTGGAAGGAAAGAACTGACCCTATGTCCTCCACATGAACACCATGTCATGAATGCTCGCACACATACATAAAATGAATAAATTAAAATGCAATGAAAGTTGGAGAGCTGGAGAGATGACTCTCTGATTAAGAGCACTTGCTCTTACAGAGGACATTGATTTGGTTCCCAGCAACCACATGGCTGCTCACAACTTTCTGTAACTCCAGTTCCAGGGGATCAACACCCTCTTCTGGTCTCCTCGAGCATTGTACATACATGGTGCATATACATACATGCAGACAAAACACTCATACACATAAAATAAAAATAATTTTTTAAATAATAAAAATTTTAGAAAGAGCATTGGACAAATTCAAATGCTTCTCAGATAAGATGGGATTAGGTTTCATGTGCTAACCAAGAAAAATTAACCTTCCTACATCATGTAATAACCTGTATTTCCATGAGGAAACAGTCTGCATCTGTATTATTCTGCATTGTGCTGTTCCTCTTACATAACAAGTACTCAATAAATATTTGTAAAATAATTATGGTACTGTACACCTATAATCTCAACACTCAGGAGATGTTGGCAGGAGGATTACACTGAGTTCAAGGCCAACCTGGGTTACAAAGTAAGTTTGAGGCCAGCCTAGATTACATAATGAGACTGTTTAAAAGGAATGAATGAGCCAGGTATAGTGACACGTCTTTAATCCTAGCCTGGTCTACATAGTATTCTAGGCCAGCTGGGGCTACATGAAGATGCTCTCTCAAAAAAAAATTAAAATTTAAAATTTAAAATAATGAATGGCTGGGGCTGGAGAGATAGTCAGCGGTTAAGAGCATTGACTGCTCTTGCAGAGGACCCGGGTTCAATTCCCAGCACCCACAAGGCAGCTACAAACTGTCCTTAACTCCAGTTCCAGGGGAATCCGAAGCCCTCTTCTGACTTCCAAGGTGTTGCACGACACGGGTGCACTCACATACATGTAGGCAATACACTTATACACATAAAATAAAAATAATAAATAAAATATTAAAAAAAGAATGAATGGAAATGAAAAATGAGTGATTTATTTTACAGTGGACCAAGGACTATTTCAACACCATCACCTTCCAATACTTCTACCCTGTAGCAGGGGCCTGAAATATAATTAGCCGCTACATCCACTGCATCAATCTTCTTCCCATTCAAAATGCAAATATTCCTGAGAGAGGTCATAATTTACCCCTGTTGTGTCATTCACATTTTGGTGTAAATTGGATTTTAAGTTCCTTTTCTGAGAGTGTTAAATAAGAAAAGTGGGGCTGCAGAGATGGCTCAGTGGTTAAGAACACTAACTGTTCTTGCAGAAGACCCAGGTTCTAATCCCAGCACCCACATGGCAGCTAATACCATAACTCCAGTTCCAGGGGATCCAACGACCTCTACGGTCCTCTGAGGGCATTGCATGACACAAGTGCATTTACATACATGCAGGCAATATATGCATACACATAAAATAATAAGTAAAATTTAAAAGAAAAGTATGCAAAAGAGGCAGACAATCACTTCTCTGACTTCCTAGTCTTCCACCTCCCAGTCTTCCATGGGGTGACCTGGCCTTGCATGGAGCCCATGAGACCCTGGCTAGAGTGTGGATGATGAAAAGAGACCATTGTTCAACCATTGTTCGAGTCCTTCCAATCCCAGGAGAGCTGTGGGACTTGTAAAGAGGTCTTACTGTGGTTAAACATAGCAGGAAACTGTGGTTCCTTGAGTCCCCTGGGGGGAAATGAGATGACAAATGTAGTGTATGCCTCATAGGAGAAAGGAATCAGGAAAATAAAACTAACCCCCTCTAACAGAAGCAAAAAGAAGCTGGAAGGGATGGCCTGTAATCCCAGTACTTGGGAGACTGAGGTGAGGAAGATTAGGAGTTCAAGACCAGCCTCAGCTACAT